TCTACTGAGGTCAAGGTTCAAAACTTCATTGTCAGCACTGAATTCCAAAATAAGATGGAAAGAGTAGAGTAAAAACCATAAGGCAGGTAAAACCAGGACAGACACCCTTGAACTCTTTTCAAATCTCAGATTATTTCTGCATGATGGAAGGTGAAGTCAGCTGTAAATCCCTGCTGAAGTGTTACAGACAGGAGATAAATGTGTCTGGGATGAGGGCGTGCCTCTGCAAATCTATAACTCCATTTATCACACAGAAGTGTCCTTGCAACATTTTCCCTTTCTTCTGAAACACTCTGAAAAGAAGAAAGCCCCTGTCAGTATTGACACAAATCTACTCTACAAAGGAACTGCTAGCTTGTGTTTCAAGGGCAATTTCACTGTTTTATGGTGGTTTTCATTAACACTTTAGTCAGACTTATTCAATAATTTGAATGTACACATGACATCAGTGTCACATACAGTACATGATTAAAAAAAAAAAACATCTTTCAGGCAGAGATATCAGTTTCTATACTGGTAACATCAGAGACCAGACTGCACGGAAACTCATCTCAAACTCATTTGCTCTGCTACTAAAATTGGACTTTTTGTCAGATGTGAATCTGATTACTAAGCCCTTGCTTCAGGAAGACAGTAATGAACTCCTGTTTCTGGTTTTCTGTGCAGCATTAAATCTGTCCCTGCTTGGCTGTAAACTGTCTGTAATGAATTTCACTGATCGCTGTTTGTTGATGGATTAGCAGTGATGTGATTAGAGCCAAGTTAATCATTTTTCTATTAATAATTGAAATCCTAATGCGCAGAAACAGAATTCAGGGTGTTTGTAATATATTAATGAGAGGGTTTATTGCTGCAATATCTTAGTTGAACAGGCCTAGGAGGATGGTGATCTACATGGAGTGCCATCATTTGTTTACTGAGACAAAGACAACTTTTTATCAGTGATGTTTCCTTTGGTTTCATAGATTAGTTCCCCTGGTTTCTACGATCTGGCAGGAAACACTGGGAGCTTTCACAGACGCCTTATCAATAGTTTTTATGCTATGCAGTGATAGTAAATTCAACAAACTTGTAAAATTTGGGAGATCTTTATAATCTCGTCTGCACCTTTGCAAAACATGTTACATTTCTATATTACATAATTGTGATGCTTTAGTCAAACACATCATGACATCCAACAGGAACAGGCAGATATCCACAGGAGCAGCAAAGGAAAGTACTGTTCATCAGAAATTTGTCAGTATTGACTAAATGCTGAGTTAGTCTGCTTAGTTAAGATGATGAAATATTCTAACTTTTTACCCTATATTGTAAGAGTTGGTACTGTTTTTTACATTGCTACCAGGAAACAAAAGGAGCAGGATGCAGGTAGCTTGTGAAGCAGCTAGGCCAGTGAACAAGGGTTCAATAATGGTAGCACCAGGTGCTTCCTTTGGTTTCATGGCTGGGAGTTACAGCATCCCCGAGTGTCCATCTAAAGATTTTGGAGGAAATTAGCAGGTTACAATTTCCCTGGTAGCTGAGAATATGCAAAAACTACTGTCAGTAGCTACTGTCACCCAAAGGTGTGAAGTGCTGTGCATGTGTGAAGTGTGTATGAGCAAACTCCACTGGTTTGCTAGAAAGATCTTACAGTCACTACACAGTATAGTGGGAATGAACAAGTTATTACCACAGTGTTAGGTATTTTTAGTCAGATAGAAATTGGATAGATACTTTATGTATTAGAAATGTTTAGTGGAGATAGGATGTCTAGTTAGACTGTTAAATGCTTAGGCCTGCTTATGAGTTTCTACAGGGTGCATCTGGTCAAGGATAACTAGAGAGAAGAGTTGATGACTGTCAGCAGACAGGGTGTTTAATATTATTATTATGACGTGTATAACTGTAGCCTTAGCCATAATATGTTCTTATGTTTAATATCACTACATGTTACTAGAGGTCGTGTGAGAATGTTTTTAGCTACACACCACTTAACCAACAGACACACACACACACATTGATTTACTTCATGTTTTGACTACTGCTATGACCAGCTGCAAAGCTGGTAACAGAGACGTCTCGGTTGACGTTTCTGTGTAGTATGGGGCTAGCCCAACCGAAGGGATATAATGTATAGGCCTGGTGGGTTCGGGGTCTTTCATCTTACATCTGCCTGCGAGCAGTTTGGAGGTGCAAGATACCCGAGCGTGTAATGTTAATTTTTACCTGTGATCCTTTGAATAAATCAGCACTGTTTTGAAGCTACTTGGACTGACTCATCTCTCAGAGTTAGCAATGGTAAGAAGAACCACAGTCCTTCAAGAACTTTCTTTGTGACAGTTGTCACCTCAGTGATGAGCACAATCAATAATTATAAGATTTTTCTCTTTAAATGTTCGGGTTTCTACATAACATGTGGATTTGTTGGAACATGTAGGCCAGTGGACAGTAGGAAGGTGATCTGAGGCTACATCTGAAGGATGTGTACATGACTAAGACCTTACAAACTGGACAAAAATATATGATTTAACATTAATTACATTTAAAAGACAATAAGGACCATTTGAAACATTGCACACTAACTGGCCTAGGATGAAAGATCCAGCTGTTACATAAACATGATTTTCATGTAAATTTGTGTAAAAAATGAAGTTCTACCATTTCAAATCCAGAAACAATATACAGTACAAGAACTGAACACACAGTATATTCAATAAAGTATATTCAAACCAAAATACCCATAAAACATACAAATGAAGTATGGCAAGGAAGAATCTCCGTATGGGTCCTTGCCTGCCCTAAATCATAACAAAACTGTTGTGCTGCTGTACAGTATATTGTAGCAACCAAATGAATGTATACTCTAATAAAAAGATTATATGTGGTTGCAAGTTGTTTTCCAGTCTGCACTGAGGAAAAGTAAAATCTGATCCTCCCTTTCTCTGCTTTCTGATCCTTTTGTCTTTCTATTAAACATCTTAATATATCATTGCAAAAACCTTGCCCAGCAACACAAATAGCCAACCAGCACTCACATTCCACCACTAACACCTCGCACACATTCCAGAGTGCATGTCCTATTGCAAGGGGGATGATGTCTTAAGGTCACATGCCTTTTTTTAATTACATGTTTGGTAGGAAATCTCCAGAGACAGCTGCGGGTGAGCTAGTGTGTCGTCAGCTGGCCGGGTGGCAGGCAGACTCAGACTCAGACCAGCAGCTGTCTGAGGTCTTTCCTGACACATCACCACCATACTGTAAGTGTATTACATCCCAGTAACAGTAATTGATGGACAGCCACCTTCCTAAATAGCTCAATTATATGACAAGTCTCATGCACACTTTCTGACCTTTTCCACTCTAAGCTTGGAGCCATTTCAGGGCATTTACCCCAGTTGAAAAGCAACTACAGCAGTGAGGATGTTTGGTGCAATAACACCCATTAAAAACAAACCAGGGCTTATGATTAAATGGAATGTCTGCCATTAATAAATAAGTACTGGCAAATTCTCTTCAGCTGTCTTAAAGCACCACTCAGACGTTCTGGGAAGCGTGCCTGCTTGAATTTGTTTTATCTTTCTCTATCCAGAAGTGCCAGAAACATGTTACCATAGCAAAGTTCAAAGACAGTCTTGTCTCATCTCTAATACATTGAGGGGAAACCTGGCTTTGAAATGCCACATGCATTCATGAGACCCAGCTGTTGGTAAAAAAAAAAAAAAATAGATCCAATGCACATGCTACATAACTTCTTTAAAATACCATCTCACCTTCTATTTTCTACATGTTAAATGCACAAGAACATAAATAATAGACAGTTATGACACTGTTCTTTTACACTCACCTCCAGGCTTTAAATAAAAATAATGTGAATAGTTTTATATCTGAACATGTCTGGGTAAAACCACAAACATGTGGGAGTGTTAACCGATATACACCCATACTGTTCACTTTTTATTTTTGCATGTTGATGCAATTCAAGGAAGAAATGTAGACACTTTATGTGAAGGACCAGTTTATAGTCCAGAAGGTAGCCTGTCAGCTATTTTTTAATCCTCACTACTTCAATAAACCCTTGACCTCATGATATTTTGGGATTTTATAAGCGAAATGGCCCCAGGTGGGAGGGTGCAGCCAAAACTGTGCAGTGGCCAAAGAAAAGCTGGCAGCCATTGGTTTGGGCTGTGTTGACTGTGGAAGGAAATGTTCAGGACAATTCAGCAGAGGAAACTGCACCTTCTCAGTAGGGCCTTAAGTCTCAGTCTCATATCTGGATCATTAGAGGGATCTACTGTCTTCATACCTCAAGACCTCTGACTCATCTCTTGTTGTCTTCTAAGACAATTTATATTTTTTTCCCAGTTGCTTCGCAATAACAAGACAGTGAATGTTTGTGAAATTATAATGTAATATATGATACTTTCATAGTTGGATTTTTCTTCAACTTAAGCAACATACAGTAGTTGGCAGGTTAGTAATTGTATATAAGGTGGATGATTATCATAGAAGGTCACTGGACATTTGCAGAGATTAAATCTGTCTGTTGCTCTATGTATTAAAAACTCTGCACTCTTTGACATGAGTTTATTAACACTGAGGGATGCAGTGAGGATTATAAGAAAGCCTTCATATCCTTGACCAGGCATCCGTGACACAGTTGCCTGTCCCTGGCCTAAACTCATACCACTGACAAAAAAAATTAGAAGCCTTAAACTGATACTGAGTCAACAGTTCCTTTGGCATTACAGTTGTCAAATGGAAGCTCAAACTCGGATGTGTAAAAGAAGTCTTGGGTGTCAGGCTGCAGGGATGGAGCGATGAATCAGAAGTTGCTATGTCGGGGGGGTGTTGCTAGGGGGCGGAGGTTTAACTCACTGGACTGGTCAAGTACAGTGTTCTTAAGAGCAGAACTCTGTGACAGCCTATAGTTTAGTGACAGACTACAAGGAACAGAGCAGTGTGCACTGACAAAACAGAGGAAACCAGAGATCTGACGGACACAAAGGAGTCGGTCTGAGGCAGAAGCACATCCTGCATCTCGATTACAGAGCAAACATGGGAGTGTACAATGAACAAGGGTAAGGGTTTTTATCCTGATTTAGAGTCTTTGGTACCTTTAAGAGATGTAAAGTTGACTGAGACATGTTTTGCATCATTTAAATGAACTCTTCTAATCATCTTGTTTTTGTTGCAATATAACTGGAGGAGCCACTATGAAATGATATGACTGTACATCACATTATCAATAAATAGCTCAAATTCTGTTTTACATTAATAGTTCACTCTAAATTAGATAAATGAAGGTAGTTTGTGAATAATAATGACTTTTTTGTACCTCTAAATGGACTTAATCATGTTTGCTGGCTGTTTCAAATAACTCTAATATGTTCAGGTCAACTTTATCATTACACATTATAGGGCAGCCCTGGAAGAACCAGAACCCCAACATGCCCTGGTCAAAGAGATCACAGGAAGGTCCACATGTCGACCCTCCTTTTCCCACCACAGACGGCTCAGCAAACGTCCAACCAAAGATGATGTCAGTGACAAGATGTTTGTGGGTCAGTAGCTGGATTGATGTAGATGTGACCAGATGAGTTTCTGATATTAAAGAGTACTGAACCTTTACATTCAAGCTACTTCTACACTGAGGATGGAGAACAAATCAAAAAGAAAATCACCATAACAGGAGTGCTATCTTTAACAGAAATGCTGAAACCAAGTCAAAACACAGGAACCAAGTTGTAACAGTTGTACAATGTCTACTGCGGCCTGCTAAATTACAGCAAGGTGATATTACTAACATGTAAAATGGCTCCACTTGTCCAGGTTTCTTAGTAAGCTATGGCAGATTACCAGGGACCCATCAGGTGCAGCACCAGCACCATGAAACTGAAACAGTTAAATGGAAAGTTTTTTGTGAAAGAGGCTTATGTACCAAGTACTGTAATGGGTTATACAGTACAGTGCTCATTAAGTGAAAGCATCAGTTTCAGCTTCTCATGTTGTGGTCCTAAAACACCAATTTATGCTGGATCTGGTGGTCTCTGTATCAATATTACACTGTCTAGAGACTAGTGTGGCCACCCTTTATTGTAATTGCTGCAGCCTGTTCCAGCCAGCAGCATGTGCCATAGTGGATATTAATGGATGGCTGGATAGCCATCATATAAATCTAACACAGCTTCAGTCTCCTATTAATGATACAGTACAAGTCATTACAGGCATCACCAACAGCCATTCTCAGTCAGTCATGGCAATACAGAGACTGCCTCCATGAAGCTTTTGTATGAAATAGACCTTCAGTCTCCAGAACAACTGTGCATCCTTTCCATGCACAGTCTGCCAGCATGAATCAGCTTTCAGGTGCAAGAAACCAGGCACACAGAGCTTTGCAAAGACAGGATCCTGCATCAGTGTTTTCAGTTTGTGAAGCATTTAAGAAGATGCTTGATTATATTATCTGAGAGGGGAGGGCTGCTTGGGGTGAAAAATTAAAAAGGTAAATAGACACTGAATCATTAATACTAAAGCAAAGAAGACACACAGACGTGACACATAAAAAGATTTATTTATATGCTTGTTTTCTGGTAGCACCATTAAGATAGGTCTGGTGGTCACTAACTGAAAAGACACAGGAGGTAGGTTTAGAAAGCAAATTGTAATAAAATAGTGACTGTCCTGTTTTTGTCATGGTAGTTGGGGGATGGACCCAAGATGACCCATCCTGTCTGGTAGAACAGTTCTGTCCTGAGTACAATGAATGGAGAACGACAGCACGCATGGTCAACAATCGAGGCACGGTGGCTATGGCCACACTAGACGGTATGATCTACACTGCAGGTGGGGAAGATGACATCCAATGTTACAGCAGTGTGGAGAGGTGAGAGACGGTACCGTTTCTAAATGTCTTTTACCAAAGACTGTACATAATCGGCTTCATTTGCAAAAATAGAACAACTTCAAATGATTTCCAGTGGAATTAATATTTAAGCTTCTGCTGTAAGAACCACACTTCATCATTTGAACAGATTTCGCTTTGTCACATGCTCCTTTAATTTCATGTTCCATTTACATGACAGCACCACATAGTCGGTATCAGGAGGCTGTAATTCAAACTGTTTATTTTGGTTTCTTTTGGTTCTCTCATATAAGGTGACTCAAGCTGAAATTTTACCTAGCTGCAGCGCTATAGAACACAGAAGACTTGTCTGTAGCTCCCACTGTCAAAGAATAACCATGCGTAAAATGGTTTTGGCAAAAGATAACACATATGTTCAGCACACTCAGAGGAAAACAATCTAAGAGGCATGTCATGTAACCCAAAATGTATTATGTAATGTATATTTTAAATCATGTCCAACCCTAACCCTGCCACTTACTCCTACTTGTTTCAAGAATGATTTGTAAACCAGTCGGTTCTATCTTTGTTTTTTATATCACTGAACAGTAGAGGTCAGCGTTGAAGCAAAAATTAGATGTAGATCTTTTGACATTAAACCCAAATGGTAACATTACTGTAAGTTAGTGTGCACCAGACCACCCTTAAATACTGACTTTATGGAATTTACCTCATCTTTTCATGTTGTCAGAGTAGATATTCAGACAAAGTCAAATATAAACTTTTTTACACACCCACTTTGTGCATTCCTGTAGCATATTTTCTCAGCTTCTCTTCTCCGACTATATGCTTCAAAGGAGATGACTCGGTTCCCGGATCTTAGACAGTCACTTCTGAACTGAATGCCAGCCGCTTAACCCCATAATGAGCATCCCTGGCTGGCTGCAGACCAGCAGGCAAAGACCTGCTCCAGACTGATCATCTGTTAATGGCTCCATCCAGATACTACAGCACTCTCTTTGATTACCCGAGTGCACCTAATCTCTGAAGGGTGGCTACAATGTTGTTGTGACACTGGGCAAAACAAAAAACAATTTGAAAATCCTTTTTGTGGGATGTGGGTTTTCATCTAATAGCTTTGAATGGGGAGAAACCATCCTGGCAGATGTTTACACAACTTATACAAGTGTGTTCCTTAAAAACACTAATTACAAGTATACAAACCACTTGAATATAGGAAGTTTCTATGAAAGCTTGTGATTGTGTAGGTTCTACCCAAATCGTCATTACCAGCCACTGATTATTTTCCACCAACACTGAAATCTCCGCAGGTACAACCCAAACACAGGCAGGTGGAGTACACATGTAGCGCCCTTGAGCAGCCCCCGCAGTGGAGTGTGTCTGGTGGCGATGGACGAATACCTGTATGCTATTGGAGGACACGACAGCACTACTGTCTTTAATACTGTGGAGAGGTACTGTGGCACAAGAGCTACTAAAGATAATTTTACAAAACTGACTGTCATTCCTCTTAATTCATACTGTGTCCTAAAATAAAATTCAGAATATGGTTTTTGTAAAGAAAATAACCATTAAACCATTTTTTCTTTTTTCCTAGTTTGTGCCATAAACAGACATTTCATTAAAAAATGAACACAAAATGCAAGTATAATGAATATGCCGTCTCAGACACTATATATAGAATTATGGTAATAATTATGTTAATGTCCTGACATCTCATCATATTGAGAGCAAAGTGGCTGACTCAGAGGAACAAAGAAATGAATCTGCGTTATGAAAAACATTGTCCTAATGACTGACATTCCATTTGTCAAGTTGGAATTGGTCTTGCTAACCTTTTAGGTTCATTTCTCTAGATATGACCCAAAAATGAACACGTGGAGCAAACAGGCACTGATGCTGACCAGCCGCACCAGAGCAGTGGCTGCTGTGCTAGACGGTCACTTGTATGTGATCGGAGGGAGTGATGGTGACACGGCTCTGAGCTCAGGTGAGAAGTGATTAGAAACAGAACGTACTGTATATCTCACATCTAACCTCTGGCACCAACAACGTAGTAGTCCGTGTCTTCTAAAATGAATCAGTAACTGTCAGTACATGTAAAGGAGATTGTTTTGATTTCTGTTTGAGTTTTGATCTCTTACAAAACCTGTTTTCCAGTGCGTTCCTTTTGTCATGAGATGTTATATAAAACCGTTTACAGAATTTCATCCCACTGGTTTTTATGTTCTTTTCTTTAACCACCTTATTTGATGTTGATGAATCATACCAAAATTCATAAGATACAGTAAAGTACTACTGTCAGACAATTGTACAGCTGCTCATTACCATTACCCACTCATCCGTCAACTCTGATAAAATACATGTTTGGAATGTCAGAAAAAAGGTTTTGAATTCCTAGCATTGAGTTCTATTTTCAAATAGACCAGCACAAAACCCAACTTATTCACTTCAATGATATAGAACAAAGAAAACCAGCAAATGATATGTCAGAGGCTGGAGGCAACAAATATCTGCCATTTAGCTCTGATAAATTACTTAAAGTTGGCAATTAATTTTTTTTTGCAGCAGTTAATCAGTTACGACAGGCATCATTATAAAGTAGCACAACTTCTCCAGCACTTTAACTGTTTTACTGTGTGGTCAGACTAAAGTCACACATGATTAGACTGACCTTGCATTTTCTGCAAGGATCCTCAATACACATACCGTACACTACAAAAGCTCAAACACACACATTCTTAAGCCCCCTGACCTCGCCAAAATAAACTGGGGTTAGAGTATGTTGGGCTGCCACTTGTCACTGGCTATTTTCAGTCTGTGAGAAATGCATGTCCACAAAATTCCCACAACAGTTTTTGGTTCCTGTTAAGGTCATCAAGGTCAAATTTATATTATTTTTTGGATAATTTTACTTTTATTAAAAATGTATTTGTACTATTGATATCTTTCTAGATTTCTATGCACATCTAAAATTGCAACAACCAGTCTAACCTAAGCATTTTATACACTTATAAATATAAACACTGTCTGTGTTGCAGTGTTACTCATACAGTGCGTGTTGTATACTGTATGATATATGGCCTATTCTGAGTCATGCTATCCTCTAAATGTTCCCCAGTGGAGCGGTACAACCCTGTAGATGGTACCTGGTCGATATGCGCCCACATGCTGAGTCCCAGGCAGAATGCCGGCTGCGCTGTGTACCTGGGACACATCTACGTGGCTGGCGGCAAAGACGAGCTCAACCTGGAGGTCTGTGCTGCTGAGAGGTTTGACCCAGACACCATGAGGTGGACACCCATCAAACACATGAGAAGCAAGAGGGACAATGTGAGTAACAGTGACAGAATAGACGTCAGACTCTCCCTCTAATTTAACATTCAGGGAATGTTTTCATACAGATTATAAAACACAAATGACAAAAAGAAATACAACTGATATGACACAGAGGACAAATTTCATTTATTCATTACCTAAAAATTGCAGTATGGGTTTAGGGTCTTATTGCTATTTTTGGATCCTACAGTCTCTACACAGTACAATAATGGGATTATAGATGTATTAGTAGGAAAAACATGTTCATCTTAATTTACTATTTTGGCAAGCTGGTGGCACTAGATGAAAGGTCAGGGGTTTACCAAAGTCATGGTCTGGGCACCATAAGTGTACAAAATTTAGTTCCAGTCCATCCAAATGAAAACTTGGACCACTGTTGAAATGTCAAGAACTAGAATTCATCCTCTGGGCACAATGAGTATCATTACAAACATGTCAGATCTGTTTCATTTAAACTAATTTGCTGATGAATTCTATTCATCTCTTAAACTTCTTGTGTTTCACACCTTAGATGTCCCTGGTAGTCTTCAGTGGTGCCTTGCTGGCTGTGGGAGGCTCTGATGGCATCACTCATCTGAAAACAATAGAAGTTTACAGCCATGAAACCAACACATGGCGGTAAATGGAAAACCAGCTTGCTTGATGCCGTTTAGTACTCGTTGTTGTGGCTTTTTTTTTTTTGCCCATTTGACTTAAAAAAAAAAAAAAAAGAAGTATTATTCAGATAATGCTGAAAGCTCTAATTTTTTAGTTTTGGGCAAGGGAAGGACCCAAATATGCAGACGCAAGCCAAGGCAGAGGCCAATAGTATTTTAATGCAACACAAAACAAGAAACAGGAACAAAATACAAGGCTCAACCTGATGTAGTAAAACAAAAAGTACAAAACTAGGTCAGGGAGCTGGGTACAAAAATGAAAACCAAACCAGTGAAATAAACCAAAGTACTGCTGATCAGAAAAACTCAGACAAAAATGAGACAATTCAAACAAAGTCAGGAACAAACGAGAGACGGGTACTGAACCTACAGGGCAGAGATGCAGGAGTGGTAAGCTGAGAGAACGGAGACGGCAGGGGCAACAAGGTATGGAGATAAAATGAACCAGCAACCAGACCGAAGGAGGTCATATAAGGAAAAACCAGGAGATAATGAGCAACAGGTGGAAACAATGAATGGTTAATGTGAACTGGGGTAAAGCTAGGGCAGAAAGGTGGGCATAGGTGACAGAAAACAGGAAACTAACCAAAATCAAAGCATCAAAAAGGAAACAAGTCCACAAACCATTACATGCTTAATAGCATGCTTTTATTTCATTCCTTGTTGCTATGGTTTAATACAGGAATTGAATCACTGTTGTGTTATATCAATTAACAGTAGAAATTCACAGTGTGAGAATGTATTTACAAGAATATTTTATATTGTAATTGACACAATAAACTGTCGGGATAAACAAACCATAAATCCAGTAGTAATGGTGGTAAAAGAAAAATGCACTATATGGCATTTATCAAAACCTATATTCAAAGTTTTATCATTAACACATTGATGAGACATTTGAGGAGATTCAGTTTGTTCAGAATACATTAGGCTGCGTTTGTAACAAGTTACTTCATAAAGTAACTTTAATTATATTACTAATGCGTTACATCACTGTGTTACTATGAAAACTAACATTATTACATAATGCAAAACATTGTAAGTTGGATAACATAAATATCCGTATCAGATCACACTCTTATGAGGAGGTTTAAAGTATTTACAATCATACCCAGGGTAAAATTAAAGACAGAACAACCTCATCATCTACTGTAATTACTCCTACTCATTAAACTTTAAGTAATATTACTTTAAATACATTACATTACATAATTAATGTCACAGATTAGTGTCTCTCTTTCCATACAGTTGTCAAATGAATTTCACACCTACAGAACAAAAATACTTTACATCAAAACTGTCTGATGCAAACGGCCAGACAAAAAGTCACTTTGTGATTCATGCACCAAGCTCATGTAAGCATTCTATATATTTTATATGCCTGCAGGCTGCTTACTGAATCTGAGTGCTTCACTGTCTGAGTCTGACTATTTCCCCCTCTGTCTGTTTTTAGACACTTTGGAAGCACGAAGAGCAAGCATCCAGGGGGGAGAGTGGTCGTGCTGTGCTGAGGCGCAACAATGCTCATATTATATGAACAGGACAGAAGTGAAGACAGAATTAGCCTAATGGATGTACGCCAGGCTCCAGGACACACTGTGATATGATTCAATTAAGGCAGCATAATGACCAAATAATTGAAGAGTTCACTCTGAAACCAGACATGGCTGCATTAGTCAAAGCTGGCACCCACTGGTACTAAAAGACTGCGAGCATTAAATTAAAGCACATTACAGGCTGACAGGTTACCATTATACTGTGGTTATGTTTTTAAAAAATTCTCCAGATCACAAAGCAAATATGTTTCAGGTTTCTTTATTTTTCTTTTTGAACACCAAATTTAGGATTGAATATGGTATTGACATTATATTAGACAATACTGTGAAACACAGTGACCTATTGTTTTTAAAGGAAAGTAAACGTTTCATTTCATTCATGATGGTACTACTAGTAATAAAGTGGAATAACAGGAGTGAGCCAAAGAGATGGAATATAATGCAAGCATTTGGTTAAAGGATGTTCGGGATTTGGATGTAAAAATACTGGTGGTACCATAGGTTATTGGATTATGAAAGAATTCATTTTAACCTTGACAAGGTTGCTGCAGAAAGTGCAAAAAAACGCACTGAATGTTTTAAGCACAGCTCCTTTAAATAACAGTGATATAGAATAATGATGTGTTTCTTTAGCCAATCTAAGGCATTTGCAAACCTTGGTTTATTCTTTTTTGAAGTGTAGATATTAATCATGTCACTGCAGCTTTTGTGTGCACCACCTATCATGCTGTAAATGACCCAAATTAGTTAATGATTGTAAACTAATTCATAGTTTTTGATCATTTAGCTTGTATCATCATTCACCAATAGACAAGGCAAACACAGCATGGGTTGTAAAACATCAAAATCAGCTGGATCAAGTTGTGGAAAATAAATCTGTGGGAATTAAGATCCTGAGCAAGAAAAGTGAGTGAGTGAGGTCTGACTGCTGGCATGGGAAAGCATAAGTGACTGTGTGGGCTTTAAAATGATGACGCTCAGAGCTCTTTCCCCTGGAGAGTAATGGGCTGAAATGTGGAGCTGCTGAGCACAAGGAAGGCACACAGAGCAACACGGCTTTTCCAGAGATACACATCAGCCAGTGGTGTCTGCAACTCCTACCTCTGTGAAAACAGAATGAATATCATTTTCAGTTTGAGGGGGAAAACTGTGAGACATGTAGCAGACGACAGAGCTTTTACAGGTATGTTTTAATGGAAAAATGATATGTAGTAGGAGACTGCGATGTTATTTCATAGCAGCCTCAAATTTGACAAGCAGATAAGCTTCTTTCAACTGAGGTTCTTAGCAAAGGTAAAGCCCTTTTTATCTCGACTCGACTTAGAAAAAGCCATTCATGCTTTCATTAGCTCGCGTCTTGGCTACTGTAACGCCCTCTATACTGGAACTAACCAGTCTCTCCTCCGTAGTCTCCAACTAGTACAGAACGCGGCTGCTCGTCTACTGTCAAATACTCCAGAGCATGCTCACATCACCTCTGGTCTCCAGTCACTGGCCTCCGGTGCAGTGCAGAAATGATTTTAACGTTCTGTTGTTCGTGTTCAAGGCTATTAATGGCCTTGCTCCGGCTTATTTGACAGATCTTTTAACTATTCATACGTTCCTTTGAACATTTGTCTCTGGTTGTCCCGCAGGCAACGTACAAAAAGTGGGCTGATCGTTCCTTTGCCGTATATGCCCCCAAGCCCTGGAATACCCTGCCTCCCGAGCTTCGGTCTATAACTGAGCTAATGGTTTTTAAGCCTAAATTAAAAGCACACCTATTCAAACTGGTGTTTGGCACTTAATTTATAGCAGTAGTGATGCACAGGTGCCTACAGGCTTTCTGATTTTATATTCTGTTTGTACTTTGACACATTTTTATTGTAAAGCTTTATAGTTGCTTACAGACTTTGGTTTCAAATTTGTGTAATTTTAACTTGTTTTCCTTTTCTTTAGTTTATGTGTCTTAACATGTTTTGCTTTCATTTTTATATATTTTTGCTATACTTTGAACACCTCTGGGTGTTGTAAAGTGCTACAGTATATAGAAACAAATTAATTAAATTAGATTTTATCGAAGCTGACAAAACTTTTGCATGTGCTATGCAGCTTGCTCATCTCACTAAAAGCCTATAGAAGTTTCTCGGCAGCATAAAGCATCAGTTTCCTCCGCAATCATTTCAAGGTTGCCCGGTAGATGGCGAGGCACCGGTAGGTGACTTCAGGTTTGGAATTGAGCAGCCTCCTGCTGTTTCCTGGGGAGGAAAGGATGCGGTTGCTGACAGAAAAGCATGGAAATCTGCAGCGATTACAGAGCGCTTGCATAATGGGCCTTTATAGATACGTAAGCCGGTGTTTAATGGCAAACGACTGCAACGGAGAAAGCTGTGAAGTGGCACTTGTAAGGGTTTAAGATCAGGCGCTGTGACGACAGAGGAACTTAAAATGGTCAGGCTACGTACTTGCCAGCAAATAAAGAAACACTAAGGCAAATGGCAAATCAAGTTTATAATAGACAGTAAAAATAACGAGTCATTGTCAGTACTAGCAAACAAAGTTGTTGCTAAGCGACAATGAATTCTTTCAGTACTGCGCTTTTCGGGCTCGCGCAGTTGTACATCAATGAAATGTCAGGTGTGCGATAAATTACGTGTTTCGAAGGTGTGTCAGCCAATCAGCGCTCAGGGGGGACGACACGCATTTTTCTCACAAACCTCAATAATAGGAACCTTCAGACAGCTAGGTAGTACCGACAGAGCGCTAGCTTGACCAGCACCAGTCTTGGCGCAGAGACTACAGTGGATTAATCTGATTTTCATGTACCTGAACGCTCGGCCTAACTCCGCTCAACTCTCGTTTGCCTCCTGACTGCTGAAGTCGACTTCCCTCCCCTCCGTAATTTCCATTTTACGATGATGACAGAGCTGTCGCAGGGACGCGTTGAAGGGAGACATCTTCTGTCACATAGGCAGTGCTGTATGGATGGTGTATGGAGGTTTTCTGAACCAAACCTGTATTTACGATGATGGGACCTCGGACAGACACGGGAACACAGCCAGGTAAATGAAGTTAGCGACAAGTTAACCCATGCAGGTTAGCCTGTGCTTCTCCAGGAAGCCTGACTACTCTCAGTGACTGCTGTGCTCATTTCTAAGTTTACTTGCCTTGTATCTACGCCATAACACTGACATTCGAGAGAACCAGCAGGTATTTGAGTACTGACTTAATATTGTGAAAGTTCAGTAATATTACTAAGTTTGTGATTTAGTTTTTTATATATACATATATTATATTTGTACAGTATAATATACTGATCCTTAGTTTTGCAGTGGCTGTCAGAGGGGAATATATGTGTGTGTGTGTGTGTGTGTATGTGTGTGTGTGTGTGTATATGTATATATATGTGTGTGTGTGTGTGTGTGTATGTGTGTGTGTGTGTGTGTGTGTGTGGTGGACTGCAGATGTTTTGGTTCATTAGAAGTCCAAAATAAGAATCCTAGGACTGTTTTCTTGAAAAGCAAGTTTCCCAGTACAAAGTGAAATTGCTCAGAAATACCCTGCTGGGACTCATTCATTCATTCATTCATTCATTTTCTACCGTTTGGTCCCTGAGCGGGGTCACGGGGCTGCTGGGACTCAGCAACTCCTATTTGTCCTCTGTGGACACATGACACTAGTCTGTATTTAAACACCATGCTTGCGGTTTGTTTGTGTCCTAATGTCCTGGAAAGAGGACATCCTGGGGTTTCTAGGGATGCCACACTTTTTCTTACATCCTAAAAACTTAATGTTTATTAAAATAATCAAAATGGTAAAACGTTTTTCTTCTGGGTCTAAGGAGGATTTGACTGCTGTTTGTAACCTATTCTAGGCAGGACTGTAGCGCTTCATAAATGAATCCTTGTGCAACTGATACATTTGCTTTTGTGTAACCACAATGAAAACTGACAAGGCTGTTAGTGTTCAGATGAAAAGTTTAATTGTGAGAACAATCATAATGTTGACATTTGCTAGTAGATATTGCTGAGGGTAACTAGTTTGGCATCTACTTTGGTAGAAGAGTGCAGATTTTCAAAGACATTGTAAGTCAGCTTTGCTTCTCTTTTCTATTCTTCTCACCCTGGTCATCTTATTTATTTAGATGCCAGTTTTATCGCTGCCCTGCATGTGTTTTTCTTTGCTTCATCTGCTTTCTTTAGTCTGAATCTGCAGTCTTCTTTCCATTATAGGTCTCATACCAGGAGCAACTCTGTTTCCTATTATTGCAGTCACTTTGCCTCTACCATTATGTCAGCTCCCAAAGGTTGCACACACTGTTCCTATAGGGGACGCGTGCTCACATAGTGGTCATCATTTTTAGCCCTTGGCACCCGGCTCTCCTTAACGTCTCCCTTCACCTAAATTATTGCACACATTATTTACTCTTTTCCTTGCATCATAGTCATTTGGCATTACCCACTCTCTTTCCCCTCTGCAGTTCTGAGGGTCTGTGCATTTACAGTTAATCAGGGAGAGCGTGTCTCTGGGTGCTATTAGCCCACTCAAGGATGCCCACACTGTGTTATGATGACCACACATACAAATACACAGCTCTGTACTGTCCACTTATTGTTCCATTTATGGAGGCTTTAGAGTGAAATCAAAGCAGCCCCTAAATCATACACCATTAAATTATGTCACTGGATTGTGAAGTCATCTCTAAAATAAGAAATACTGTACATGTTCAGCCAGAACATACAGTACACTGTACATGCACTGTGTCATATTTCTGAATAATTTCCTTCTTTCTGTTTTGCTTCATGGGCAGAAAATGGGTTTAACACCACTTTGATGAGGGATTGTGCTGTCACCATAACTGTACAAATTAAAACTTATAGAGTACCTTCAGTAAACACTTAATGTAGGCAGATCATTGACCTGTCTGAAGTGCTACTTTCCACATCAACATATACACTATAAATAATACAACTCCATTACCAGGGCATGTATGAAACAGTGAACACATACATTTTAAACTGTTCAGTTATATTAAAGTGTGTCAGTTTAATCTCTGTTTAAAGAGCAGTACATCTTAGAGGGCCTGCTGAGCTCTGAGCAGAATTAAGCTGTGACACAGGCTGTATGTAATCATATTACATCCTCCCTAAGTTTTCAAGAGGTGCATTTAAATGAAGTGTGCATAAAGTCTCTGCCTCTTTCTCTCATTCAGCAATGAGTCCTCCATGCCGATCATCAAGTTCTCATGGTGACAGGTAATTCCCTGAAACACTTTGCCTACAGGTCACACTGAATGTCCTGGTAGGAACACATACATATTCTCTTTGCAGTTGACACACAGAAGCCTACTTACGTTATATTTGTCTCTGTAATAAGGTGTTGACTGTCCACTTTGATGGTGATAAACTGTAGATACATATGAAATGGGACGGTTACATCAGATCATCTGGCTCAGACTTGCATGCATGACTTGCTTTGATTCAGAAAACCAGGTCCATGTTTAGCATTTCTTTAACAAATCAGATCATTTATTTTTAAGCCGTTTTCTCAGTTAAGGATTCTGAATAGAATTTTTTCTCAAGTTTTTAGACTCGCATGACTTGCACTAAAAATCCAGTTTTGCAACCTCTCACTTCATAAAGAAATGCACACCATGTTTACTTGAGATTAATATTCACAGAACAAGTACAAATTAGCCTGTTTTTTTTGGTTTTGTCCCGGTTGCAAACGTTTGGCATCTAGGGATTTCAGTACAGTAAATGTCATAGTCCCTCTGAACACTGATTGTTCACAAATAGTCTGCTCTTACTCAGCCTACAACCCCCTAAGTCCCTACAGGTTTCCCAGTACATTAAATCTTCTCCACAGTAATTGTCTTTTCATTGATTGACTTGTATTCATTGTGTCTCAGGCTCCTTATTTTTGTGTCTGTTAAACTGGAACATTTTACATGTTGATGAACAAATGCTGCTTTCCTTCTCATCCTGTAGACCCTCTACTGACTCCCTGCACATGAACAACAGGAGCAACTCTGGTGTTATTTTGGATATTTCGACTCTCAAGATGGTAGACATGGATTCGGAGGTGCCTCCTCTTCCGCCTCGTTACCGCTTCAGGGATTTGCTGCTGGGTGACCAGACCTTTCAGAATGATGACAGGTACTGTAGCATGAAAAACACTGTTTACAATATGTAAAATATGACGGGCTGCCCAGGGATTTTCCTGGAGGGGCCTTTGTGTGTGTGTGTGTGTGTGTGTGTGTGCGCGAGCGCGCACATGCATGATATTTGAAATACTGATTTCAGCCGTTTACGGTAGTCCTCACATTCACCTTATGTCATGTAATTTATTCTGAATTTGCAAATTGCCGCACTGTCTACTTCAATTACTATTCGCCTACATCTCCCAGAGTGCCTTCTTACAGCAAGCCCCTAGACAGTGTGGGGGGGTTTATATTAAGATGTTTGTTAGATGTGAGGGTGGATATAGCAGTGGAAATAGAAACAATGAAGTGAGAGGTATTGTATTGAAAACGTAGGAGTCTTGCTGCTTGCTCAGACTTTGTGCTTGCTGTTGCATTGTGGACTGTTTGGACTACTGTCAACAGGGAAACTGGTTTTGCTTCCTCTTCAAGGATGAACTTTTCCCTTGTATAATTGGTTTAAATTGAATTTAGAAGAAAGTCTTTCCTCCCTGATTCAGAGGGATTGACACCAAGACGGGCACTGTGTTTGGGCAGTTGTCAACAGAAAAGTGAAACACTGAAAATGAACTTAGAAATGCAAGGCCCTTTGCTGGTTGTGTTTCTATGATCTGGCTGTTTTAACAAAAGTGTTCAGTATATTTGAGAGTGCGTTTTACCCTTGACTAGTGCTGTGGTCACCAGAGTGCCAGAGTATTTGGGAGTCTCTGAAGAGTTTAATTGTTTTTGGTGCTGGAGAGGCAGACCAACAGATGCCGTTTGCTGCCCAGGAGAGAATAAAACATCAGCCAAGCATCAGGCACAAGCGAGTGCAGCGGAACTCTCCAAGGTACTGAAATGACGTCCTCTCACCAAAGGATCAGTCACTTCAGCACTGGCTTGCAAAGACCAAATGCAGTGTAGTGATTTATAACCTTCCTGTTGCTTTGTCAGTAACTTTAAATTAACAGTTAATACCTGAATGTTATCAAATTGTCAAATTCACGTCACTCTGTTTGTTCCACCTTTTACATACAGATAGTGTAGCACAGTTTGATTTTCTGAAGTTTTAACATATCTGAAAATTAACCTCTGCCACCTTTAGTGTCATCATTGTACGAATCTGTAAACCTTGATTGTTTTATCACACCAAATGGGTGGTTTACCTCATTACCATGGGGTTGTGTTTAAATTCTTGTCTTGCTGATTTGCGTAGCTGTTTGTGCCTGTAACAGTACAATAGCAACATTTAGCAGTGGTCCAGTATTGGCCATTTTCAGCCCAAACATACTGTAGGTCTATGTGCTTTCCTAAACAGATGTCAACTACAGATGCCTATGCCATTATTAAAAAAAAAAAAAAAAAATCTGTACTCCACTTTCTTCAATATTGTTGGCATAAAAGATAACAAATGGTTTCAGCCAAAGACAAATAAAGCAGCGCTTGGATTGGTATTGATTACACTGCATATTAATAACTACATAGAAAACCCATCAACATACAGTAGTGTTAGGATTGTCTTTTAACAGACTATGCCATAGCTGCTGTGTCACCTAGACCTTGAGATGCTGGAGTCCAGGAGTCAGGGTGCTAGGCTGTGTGTTTGTAGTCATGTGTATTTGTGTGTGTGTTTCATCCAGTAGGTCCCCTGTGAATTATGTTGCTAATTCCAGTTCAATTGCATAGGGTAATTAGGATTTGTTGCCAGGCTACCAACACATGTATACCCAAGTGAATGTGTGTGTGTCTGCATCCACATATGTGTGCGTATGCACATGCTAGATCTAGTTACAGTATAATTCACAGATCTTTCCATGAACAACATCAGCCTTTTGTTTCTTCAAAACAAATAGCAGCTATAAACTGTAGCTTCTCACATACACCTCTGCACAACACATTAGGAAATGAATGAAGATGCAAAAGAAGAAAACACCATTATTAATTGCATGTGACAGTATGCCAGTGTTCAGTAATTGGTAGTTTCCAAGCTTGGTAGTGGGAGCGGAAGCAGACAATGTCACTGTGCTGTGGGGACACACTGTTTCTTGGTAGATGGTTTTCTGCATGCTCATGGTTTATGATGTTGATTATTTCCTGTGCTAATGCTTTGTCAAGTGCAAAACAAATGAAGCCCCAGAGGGAGATCCAGAAGCCACCCTCCCTCCCTCCCTCCCCTGCTCCGAGGACCTTGCATCTGTCATAGCCTGTTATGAGAGTGAAAGGCAATGGGTTGAAGGACTTAGGCAGAGATATGTCACTAAACACAGACAATAGGAGAAGAGAGTTACAAGAGCGGCCTGGTAGGCAAACATCTTGTAACAAAGATGGTTTTATTGAAATGTAAATGTTTTCTCTAAAACTGTTTATTATTACAGTTGTCAGTTTTGCCAAAAGGGATTGGGTGATATAGATAAAGTTATCCACTGTTGTATATGTTTATTTAGTATATTTGAGTATTGTGACTTTAGTTATGATGCTCAAGGAAACAAGGAACGTCATGCAATTGATGCAGAAGTTATATAAAAATCTCTTATCTCCTTACATGAGTTGCTCCCATCACAAGGTTGCATGTTGGGAGCTACTCGGTTATTTATTTCTTGAGTTTGTTTAAATCATTTTTAGAGGCCAAAAAAGGAGAAACACATAACTTTGTGTAGCAGAATTTACATATTCTTTTGTTTCCTTTTGTGATAATCATCTCATGACTGTTTGTGGGGGACCTGACCTTCAGGCTGGGAAGGTCTCACCCACCCAAAATTTGTACAGAATGCAATAAAAGTGTGGCAAAATTTCTACTGGTTGACATTTATATTGTCTACTGGTATACAGTGGGTACGGAAAGTATTCAGACCCCCTTAAATTTTTCACTCTTTGTTATATTGCAGCCATATGCTAAAATCATTTAAGTTCATTTTTTTCCTCATTAATGTACACACAGCACCCCATATTGACAGAAAAACACAGAAT